CTTCCACTTCCACTTGCAGCTTTTGTCAGTTTAACCATTACTTTCAAACTCAGCAAAAGCCTGGAGTACCTCCATGGTGTAGTTGGGCCGGCTTTGGAGAACTGTGCGTCAGGTTGCCCCTGGCCTATCATTCCCATAATTGGCTCCCTGTGGGCACAAAAGGCTCGCGGCTGGCATGAATTCATAGTGGTATCTTGTTCTCGTACTGTGTTCATACGAAACAAAGAAGCTGTTGTCCAGCTACTGAGAAGTTGCTTCACCTCATTCCTTGGATCCCTTCATGTTTCTCCTTTGTTGACCAACCAAAGCAGCGTAGATAATCTACTGGGCTGCATTGTTTCAGCTCATACTGTTTGTCCTGCCATGTCCATAGCACCTGGATTTCTTTACCTTCGGTCTTGCAGGACAATACATGATGTTGAACATATTAGTGATGTGATCGTAGGGCTTGTAGCAGAGTATGCTCAAGAAGCAGCTGGTAGATGGGCAAGCTCAGACTCGCACAGGTTGAAGTCTAGTCGAGCATCATTGTCTCTAGCCAGTTCCAAGGCAAGAGAGGTGGGTACGCTGGGTGCAAGCCTCTTATTTCACACCGGTGGATTACACATGGTTCAAGAACTATACCGGGAAACTATACCAACCTGGTTGCTATCATCAAGAGAAGAGAAAGCTGGGAAGGTGAGTGCCGTAGCTCGAATAATGGAAGGCTATGCAATGGCATATATGTTAGTTCTGTCTGGGTCACTGATGTGGGGTGTTGGAGCCACAACAAAAGAGTCGTGTACATTCTCCAGAAGGGCGCTCATCATAAGGAAGCACTTGGAGTTTCTGGGGAGGGTATTGGATGGGAACATATCGCTCGGCTGTCATCCCGCCACTTGGAAAGCGTATGTTTCATGTTTAGTAGGTATGATAGTAAGCTGTGCTCCAGCATGGGTTGAAGCAGTGCAGGTAGAGACATTGAAGAAACTGGCAAATGGATTGAAAGGATGGCATGAATGTGAACTAGCACTCTCTCTTCTTGAAAGAGGTGGGATTGAATCCATAGGATGTGTAATTGAAATGTTAGATGTAATTAATTAATTAATTAATTGAGTTTAGGTTAAAATGTGTAATGTACAGTATGGTATCTGTGATTAGAAGAGTTTTCAGTGGAGGAGCCTTCATTCTGATGCTGTTGCTGTAATGTAATGCAATGTATAGGTATTGTTACCGGTTTGGGTGATTTTTGAGCTTTTAGAAAATTTGTCCATAATTGTACAGGAAATGGATTTATTTTCTTTTGCATTTTAATAGAATATCTATGGAAAAAATATATAAAAAAAAAAAATCCATTTAATAAGTGTAGATCGATAATATGTTCATTTATTTAGTAAACGTATTATTTATTTTTTCAATTTTATTCTATTTATAAATCCATTTAATTGGTATTTTTTTATAATATTCGAGATGGGCCGTTAGGGTCCATTAGCAGCCCGGCTGAGCCCATCTGAATTTAAATTCAACTTTATTGTACAGCTTTTTGTTTTTTCAATTAAATAAAAAAAAATTAAAAAATAGCTCGGGGGCCAGAAGGTTGTCTTCTCCAGTTCTTCTGAAAATCTCTGCTTCTTCTGCTTCTGCTTCTGCTTCTTCTCATAACACAATACAAATTTACAATACAAGACAAGAGGGAAGTGAAGGAGCGAGAGGGAGACGCCAGTGCGTTGATATGTTAAGTATAATTTTTATTATATATTAGATTAGGGTTTTGTAATGGAAGGATTAGGGAGGAGAATATCAGCCAGTCCAAGGCCCTGCTCTGGACGAAGGGTTTTGGCGAAGAAAAGGGTTCGTCCCGATGGATTCCTAAATAGTGTCAAAAAACTTCAAAGGCGTGAGATTTCCTCCAAGAGAGATCGAGCTTTTAACATCAGTAATGCTCAAGAAAGGTTTCGCAATATGCAGTTGGTGGTAATTCACCTGGCTTTAATTCAAGAACTCTTTCTGTTCTTTTACTTTACATAGAACAGCAAAGATTTGTTTTTTTTTTGGTTTAATTTTCTGAATCTGCATCAGGAGGAATATGACACCCATGATCCCAAGGGTCATTGCCCCTTAGTTTTGCCTTTTCTAATGAAGAGAACTAAAGTAATTGAGATTGTCTCCGCTAGTGACATTGTCTTTGCTCTTGCACATTCCGGTGTCTGTGCAGCTTTCAGTAGAGGTATTGTTAGGTTTACCCAATTGGAGTTTTGTAAATTTGTCATTATGTTCAAATTAGTTGGCTCATTTTTGCCTATTCTAAATGCAGAAACAAACAAGAGGATTTGTTTTCTCAATGTTAGTCCTGATGAAGTCATTCGAAGTTTGTTTTACAACAAGAATAATGATTCACTTATCACTGTTTCTGTTTATGCCTCTGATAATTTCAGCTCCTTGAAATGCAGATCCACTAGGATTGAGTGAGTTTCTTTCTTCCCTTTGTTGTTTCTCTTTTTCTTGTCAATCCATTAGTCTCATGCTGATTATTTTTGCTTTTAAATGGTTAGATATATAAAAAGGGGTAAGCCAGATGCGGGCTTTGCTCTTTTTGAATCCGAATCATTGAAATGGCCTGGCTTTGTGGAGTTTGATGATGTTAATGGAAAAGTCCTAACGTACTCTGCACAAGATAGGTACTTCTCAACTCCGAATGTTGTATTTTTTTGTTTCATCAAATTTAGGTTCTAATTATTGATTATGTTGACAGCATATACAAGGTGTTTGACCTAAAAAACTATAATATGCTGTATTCTATATCAGATAAACACGTACAAGAGATCAAGATAAGGTAATATCTCTCTCTCAGAGACACAAAATACTAAGATTAGGGAAGCCGCAAAGTTTTCTTTCTTCTTATGTGTTTATCCATCATATCTCCTAAGTGTTCTTCTTACTCCAATTTGTCTACTTTACCTGTGACAGTCCGGGCATCATGTTATTGATTTTCGATAGATCTAGTAGTCATGTTCCTCTTAAGATTCTATCAATAGAAGATGGCACTGTTCTCAAGGCTTTCTACCATCTGCTTCATCGAAATAAGAAGGTGGACTTTATTGAACAGTTCAATGAAAAGCTTCTTGTCAAGCAAGAAAATGAGAATCTCCAGATTCTTGATGTAAGTTATCAGATGTCTTTTTTGGCTGCTCATTTGAAACCTCAATTATTCAATATGCCTTATGGAAATGTCAACATTGTGCATAGGTTCGAAATGCTCAGCTGATGGAAGTTAGTAGAACAGAGTTTATGACTCCATCAGCATTTATCTTTCTTTACGAAAACCAGTTATTCTTAACCTTCAGAAATCGAACTGTTGCTGTATGGAACTTCCGTGGGGAGCTTGTGACTTCGTTTGAGGATCACCTGTTATGGCATCCAGACTGTAACACAAATAACATTTATATAACAAGTGATCAGGATCTTATTATTTCCTACTGCAAGGCTGAATCTGAAGATCAATGGATGGAAGGAAATGGTAAGTTTTGTTACTTCATTTTGGGTGACATATATAACTGAATGTGGTAATGACTCATGTTTGGCTTGTTGACTGGATTATAATTGTCTCAACAAATTTCATTTAGAACTTTATCAGCTTTAGCTTATTGTGGTTCATTTTTTTGAAAAATATGATTTAATCATGATTAGTAAATCGTAGTTAAAGTATGGTAGCAGTCACCTACCTTTGACCAATCTTTTGTCTGTTTAATCCTTGTTTCTGAACCTCAGTTCTAAAGTCTCATTTTCATCCATCTACATGTGTTTGCATTGGTTACTTTAATTTAGAACCCCATGGCCCATATGGTTGAATTGGTTGTTGTTTGAAGGTCAAGTAAATCACCTAAGAATTCACCTTTGCAATTTATAACATAAATTAGGTTTACCATCTCCATGACCAACTTTGGCTAATTTATTTTTTGGTTGATGGAAACATGAAGCAAATGGAACTGGTTACATTATCTTTGGCTAACATTGTGGCCTGCCCTTCATATTCTGTCTACAAATATTGAGTTATTGTGATTCAATGAAGAGAATCTTAGCAGTGGGAGCTTTAGTCTCATTATTTTCTTTCTAATGCAGCTGGATCGATCAATGTCAGCAGTATTTTGACTGGGAAATGTCTGGCTAAAATTAATACTTCGAGTGGCAGTTCCAATGTTGATGAGTGCAGCAGTAGTGTTGGGCCTGTTGTCAGCTCAAAGAAGTTGAAGCAATCCTCCCAGATAAGAACCACAGTCGCAGAGGCTTTGGAAGACATAACATCGCTTTTCTATGATGAAGACCGCAATGAGATCTACACTGGAAACAGACATGGGCTTGTTCATGTATGGTCTAATTGAAACATCCCATAATTCTGTTGAGCTATCTCTACTGCAGATTGGATAATTTTTGTGTATCATTAGATATCGAGGTGCTTTCACGTTGTATTTTTAGATGATGAAACTGGAATATATTTGTTTGTAGAGTAGCAATGTTGGTATATAGGCTGCCTATTGAGATGAAGTGAAATCTTGCAATGTCTTCTTGTATGCTCGCTAATTTTATTTCTTTTTGTTTGTTCGCTCAGCCTCTAAGAAATGGAAGAAACAAAATACTCTCTGGATCATTTCATTTATGCTATGAATATTGAATAAATATATATTTACTGCAGCTGGATTAGTTGCTACTTGTTAGTATAAATTTCATGATGAATTTTATGCATTTAGAAAGGGAAAATAATACACCTACCGACGATAGTGCACCGAATTTGTGCACCGGATGACGTGACAAAATCCTGACCGTTAATTAATTTTAACTTAATATTAATTAATGGTCAGGATTTTGTTACGTCATTCGGTACACAAATTCGATGCTCTATCGTCGGTGGCTGTAGCATTACTCATTTAGAATGTGTACCTAGAAAGAGAACAACCCATATTGTGAAAGCAGAATACAATTATATAGTTCAATCAAAACAAGAATCTAAGTAATTCGTGTGATCGATTAGCATTCGGATTGGTTGATGCTTATTAGTTTTAGAATACAAAGCAACAATTACACCTGTTAGGTATATATACACAGTTTTTGCCCAGTTATATGAATGAAACTACGACAGAAGAAAAGAGTTACCAAAACACTTAAAAACTTTTTTATCAAACATAATGAGGCAGCTTCTTCATCACTTGGAATTTATTACAGTGTTGGTTTTTGATGTCATGGGAAAGGCTTAAGAATCTGAAATGAGCAGAGTAAACTTTCATCCACACACATGAGAGCACCTGCATTATTAAACTCGCCGCAGTAGTTTGGAGCTGAGAATATGGTAACTAGTTGCCTGTCTGCAAAGAATTCATAACCATCTTCAACAACCTGTCAATCATTTCCAGCAGAAAACAATAATTCTTTTGTTTAGCCCTTTTTCCTATTTAATGCACATTTACGAAAAGTTTATTAAGTTTCAGGAATCGATATGCATACCTGGTGAGCGCGGCATATGAGATCGAGGTCATGCTTCCTCAAGAACTCAGCCACCTTGTCAGCTCCAAAGGTAAAGGAAACACCCCTATCATTCTCACCCCATCCTTTAATGTCCTTATCAGGATCAGCCCACAGCAGATCACACAAGAGCCCTTGATCTGGCACGTCGATAGGCCTTTTTATAGCTCTGATCTGATTTAAGCTTTCCAATTCTGGTGAAAGTCCACCATGCATACAGAGAATTTTATCATCAACAAGTGCAGCCACTGGCAAACAGTTGAAGCAATCTGTAAATATCTTCCACAGACGCACACTGAAACGGCGCTTGCACTCGTCATAGAAGCCATAAATTCTGTTGATAGAAGCACATTCATGATTGCCACGGAGGAGGAAAAAATTATCTGGGTATTTGATCTTGTACGCAAGAAGAAGACATATAGTTTCTATGCTCTGTTTTCCTCTGTCCACATAATCTCCTAGAAACAGGTAATTGGCATCCGGGGGAAATCCACCATACTCAAACAATCGTAGCAGGTCAGGATATTGACCATGTATGTCACCTGCACGCATTTACACGTTCTATCTAACCATTTGATTCAGAAAAAAGAAAAGGTAAATTTACTGTTCTCATTTATGCCAACAGAATCACATAAAAACACACAGACACACATATATTTGATGAGGAAAATACATTGAATGAAAAAGAAAAAGAAAAAGGGTACCACAAATATTGATGGGAGCTTCCAATTCAAGGAGATTGGGTTGTGCCAGGAAGATTTGCTTGGCAGTGACACAAAGTTGCCGTATTTCAGATTCATTGAGCTGAACCCTTTTCCCTTTGTTATATCTTCCACCCAATAGCCTCTCCAACACTCCTTCCATTCCTTCCATCTTTTTCTCTTCTCTTCTCTTTGCTTTAAAGATTTTCCTACTTTCTCTCTACCTTTTATCCACCAATTTTCAAATCATCCCATCTTCCTTAAACAACAAAACATTACCAAATTCCCTTTTTCTTTTTATCTTTTTCCTTTTGAAAATAACCAGAGAAAGAAGAAAAGGAATGTGAAAACTACAAAGTTAGCTTAATTGGGTTGTTGCGAAAAAGAAAGAGAGAGAGAGCAAAAGAAATTGTTGGAGTTGAGATATATTAGGGGGTGTTGGATGGGGGAGAGGTTATTGATTAATTGTTAACTCTTAAATATTTGACTTTGGTTTTAACGGTTGTGATGAGGAGAGTTTTGCCTCCGATTTACACGCATATTCTTCCTATTATTATCCTTCTTCTTCTTATTATTATTTAAATACATATAATATAATACCAGATAATATAACAACAGTTTTGATTTCATTTGACCACCATAACCATTTCATCCTCAACTTGCTGCTAATATCAGTCAGTTTCCTTCCTCTGATAATTCATTCTGTTTGTTTTCTGTTTAATGGCTAAAATAGGGGTCATTGGAGTAACCAACAGTTTTGGCCACATCCTCATTCCTCAATTCAATATGTAAAACATATACATCATATATCTCCATGAAAATGAAAGATAAAAGATAATGCTTTCTAGGAAAATGCTCTCTATTTATATATATATATATATGGTTACCCACTACCACTACTAACCAGGATAACTGCAGATACGAGCATAGTTTCAGGAGCAGAACCTGGATCATCAAGAAGCAATTTCTCTTTGGTCCTGTAGTGTCTGTAATCCGGCCAGGAGAATATTCGGGTTTTTGGTTTATTAATAACATCATCATGCACTCTCTGAAGAAAATTTCGACTAGCATTTCGCACTCATTCAAACCGATTGTGACTTGATAATGAAATATAGATGAGAAGGAATCAAATTTTACATAAGTTCAATTGGTGAAATCACCAAGATGATGACAACCAACTACACCAAATTTGTTTTCAAGTTTGAACCAACCAAGTGGATTCCTAATGCACACTATGATATGTAACAGAGAGAAAGATAGAACACTTCAAAGTAGAGGGGCGGCAGTGCGCAACTTCAATATTGAGACTTGTCAAGGCTGCTAAAATAGGGATGGTCCATCGCTGCTTTGGCTGAGATTCTGTCTGCCGGATTATATTTGAGCATGCTCTACAATATCGAAAAAAAAAAAAAATCAATCAATCAATTAATTATATTAAAAAGCCAACATGATATTTCACCAAAGCAGCGGGAGCTATAGCTATTCATTCCACAGAAAAATTCATCAAGGCAATTAATCTAATAGTCCTAAGAAACATAATCGAATTATTAACATAAAGATTGTATTGACTCCTTGGAACAAATAGTGTAAAGATTGTAATTTGTCAATCAAAACAGCAGCCAATTGAGTTTGTCTAGACTCCTAATTGTGCAACCATAAAAGTAAGAAATCTTTGGAGAAGATTGGAAAATCATGATCCATATCCTCTCTACAAATAGAGTTCAGATGGGTGAAATCTAGAGCATCATATCACTCAAAAGACTCTGGCTGAACAATTTCTGAGTCTACTACAATACTCAAAAATGAAACCCAAAATTCGGACTGGCTATGAAGTAGTGTATTTAGTTTTCATAATCCCGAAATCAAAATATGAATAAAATGAAGAGCCAAAATATATTCAAGAAAACAATTACCGATAGAAGGTCTACTCCTTCAGGACTCAGAGATGGAACAGCACGCGCCAAGTTTTGAGGCTCCCACACAGGATACACATGCCAATCCCGCAGAGAAGTAACACCAGGCCACTGTTTCTCCGTTGGCGTTCCCATTAACCTTCAAAGTAAGAAAAAAAAATCCATTACCATCACATGCATCAGAGAGATTAAAATGATGAAGAGTGCAAACCAAGATAGTTGATTGCTTCAACTTTATGCAAAGCAAATTAAATTTACTAATTGAAACATACAGTACTTGGGTAGACTAATTTAAACAAAATCAGCATTAACCTTATGCCAAATCTAATTGAGGGGAGAACAATCTAAATCAACAAAATGTCAAAGCCAATTGAGGGGAGAACAATCTAAATGAACAAAATGCCAAAGCCAGTTGAGAGGAGGACAATCTAAATGAACGAATTATCAATATTTACAAGCACAGCGACAACAATCGACACCAATGAAAAAATGTGAATGAGTAGAAGAATAAAATACCTGAAAATATGAAGCAACTGTTGAAACTCAGAGTCGCCAGGAAACAAGGCCTGCCTTCTAACCATTTCAGCGAAAATGCAACCAACGGACCACATATCAACAGCAGTAGAGTAATGAGTGGAACCAAGGAGGACCTCGGGAGCCCTGTACCAGAGAGTAACAATCTCGTGAGTGTAGCTCTTGAGAGGAACAGTAAAGGCACGCCCAAGACCAAGATCAGCAATCTTCAGAATCCCTTTCTCTTTGTCCAGAAGAAGATTCTGCGGCTTGAGATCCCTATGAAGAACACCATGACTGTGGCAGTGGGCCACCCCCTTGCAAAGCTGGTACAAGAAGCTCTGAATCAGGGTTGGAGGAAGAGGCCTAGGATTGGGGCCTTTGCGATGAGAATCAATGAACTTCTTGAGATCGGTGTCGAGATACTCAAAGACCAAGTAAAGATTAGATTTATTATTAGAACTATGATTATGAAGAGAAGCGGAGTCGGGACTCGGATTCGAGGCGGATTTCTGAGAAGAATCAACGTGCTCAACACAGAGAAGGCGGACAACGTAAAGAGATTGAGAAAGCATTTGAAGGAGAGATACCTCTCTCAGAGCGGTGGGAGGAATGCCTTCTTCGTCCATTTCAAGTCTCGTTTTCTTAAGAGCCACCAATTGGCCGCTAGTTTTGTCCTTCGCCTTGTAAACTTTTCCATAAGTTCCTTCGCCTACCTTCTCCAGCTTCTCGTACTTGTCCATTTTCCCACTTCGTTACTACTAATTCTTGTTGATCTCTTTGAATTTTGAGCTATCTGTCTCACTCTCTACTGATAATAACCCTAAAATTTTGAATTTCAGTGGCACCGCCTCTTTGAAATTGAAATCTTATAGAAACATATAGAGACGGGAAAGAGAGCCCAACGGCCAGATCTGGAAACGGGAGCGTTTCACAAACAACAACACGTGCCCCCTTTCCCAGTTTCCCTCTCTTTTTGAATTTTGAAAATCATTAGGGTCAAACTTTAATACTCTATTATATATAATTATTATTTCAGAAATTATTAACCATTATTAATAATAATGGGTTGCTTAATTCTCCATCAATTTTACTTTGAAAATAATTAAAGTTTAACCGATTAGTGAATTAGATGCCATTAAGGCTGTGTATGGTTAGGGGCCCTAAGAAAATTACTCTTATAATCTATCTTTTAATCGGATCATTACCTTATTTGACTCAACGGGTAATAAAAGATTCCGATAATTTTTTATTACTCCGATAGTACGAGAGATGATTTCCGATCCCTATCTTATTTGGTTCAATAGATAATAAAAGATTTTGACAATCTTTTAATACTTAGATAATACAAAGGTTGATATAAATGGTGCGTTTGGTTCAAGGAATGTTAAACAGTTAAATTACTTTGAAGATTACTGAAAATTATTAGGAAAATGTGTTTGGTTAGTTGAAATAAATTGGTTGGTATGTTATATTAATATGTTTGGTATGAATGAATAAATTGGTGGGTATGTTATTTAAATTACTAAATTGTTATCTTTTAAATATTAATATAATATTATTTTTATTATTAATTTATGAATAATTTTGAACCCCCAACATTTCAGATTTAGCTAAAATACCCCTACTTATATAAAACTTTATATTATAACAAAATCACCCCTACCACCCACAAGCCACTGCCCGTCACCGCCATTTACCGCCGTGAGTCAACAAAAGAAGCTAGAAAACGCACCGTTTAGATCGAGCGACCTTGGGCTCTTCGTCGATGGTGGAGATCACAGAGGAGAGGAGATCAACGTAGTGGAGACGTGATAGAGCGGCGGTAGAGATATTGGAGACCAGAGCGGATCTGGCCGTTCAATATGGTCGTGTGTCTCTCACAATCTCCGGTCTTCACACGACGGTCAACGATGGTTTGGCTGGTGGCTACCCACGGTCTGATATTGGATTTTCTGCCAGCGCATTATATAGTTTGTTTATTTATTTTTAATTTTAGTTAAATTAAAAAAGGTTATATTTCAATTAAGTTTTTTTTTTTTTTTTTAATTACTATAATAATTCTTTGTGGTAGTAGTATTAGGGTTAATTCTGTATAACTAGTGTGTTATATTCAAGAGCTCTGGTCTCAGAACCATGCATGCCGACACACTACCTCAGTCTTGCAACGATGGACCCACACCAATGGAAATCGATGACAATTGGAGGAGAAAGTAGAAAAAGTGAAAGAAGTGGAGGAGTATTCTGATTCTTTCCGTTGTATTATCTGCTTAAATCCATGGGAGCGTGAAGGTCCTCATCAAACTTGGTGCGTTTAACTCAAAGCAGAGGCCGTTTTCTTGAATTTCTACATATATATTAAACATTCTTTCATTACTTTTTATTATTATTTTATTTTATAGATTCATAGAGAGTAAACGACATGTTCCCACCCATGGTTTGACGAAATCCTAAGTTAGTACCACTGGTTTCATTTATTCCAGATTCCCACCTTTAAAGTGACGGAAAAACGTTTGATGTAACGGTAAAGGGTTAAATTGGTCATTTTACATGGGCGGCGCACGTTAGCAGACCACCGCCTCTAACAGTCCTCCGGCGCACGTTAGCAGCCGTCGTTCCTGACGTTTTTCGCTCTTTTTCGGCGATTCTTCCACCCAAAATCACCCTAGTCACAACCATTTGAACCCCCATCCTCCCCTCTACAAAACTATACCATTCACAACCACTCATCACTCGCCGATCTCCGGCCACGGCAATGAAAAACGGCCGATGAACACGAACTCTCGGCCGGTGAATGACGACGAAACGGTTGCTGGGGACATAGGGGTTTTATAGATTTGGGGACGGTGGTTGCATTGGTGGTGTCCAATTGGATTTTCACCGCCGGAATCGACCGGAATCCGTTGAAGAACACCGAAACCCTAAGCCTAACGGTGCCGACGATTGGAGGGGCA